ATTATCGCTTCTCTTATTTGTTGTTTACAACAAAGATAAATTCAAATTAAATTCTGATGTCTATAACATGAATACTAGACAAAAATATAACTTCCACCTACCCTCATCAACTTTATCAGTATATCAAAAAGGAGTCTACTTTACTGGCATAAAAGTGTTCAACAATCTGCCACAAAGTATTAAAAACTTGGGCAGTGATACTAAAAAGTTTAAATCAGAGTTAAAGAATTATCTACATGCTCATTCCTTCTACTCTTTAGATGAATACTTCAATGTAAATAGAGAATGATGTAAAATTAAGTTAGATTAATTTTTAAGCTAAAATTGCCTGTACTTATGTATGTAACTTTTGATTTGTTCTGTATCCAAAGGTACTAACCTACTTAGGATTTATAGAATGTAAATAAATTCAATTCAATTCAATTCTGCCTTTGTGTTCACAATACATATATTTCTTAATGCAGCACACTATAAATAACATACATTTGTTTACAAGAAATACGGAGGTTCATAATATTGGTACCAGACAAAATGTTAACCTATTTCCCCCGAGTACTTCTCTTACTAAAGTTCAAAAGGGTCCATATTATTCTGGTATAAAAATCTACAATCATCTGCCTAAAGAGCTGAAACAATTATCTAATAACCAGAAATCCTTTGAACGTTCCCTAAAAAGATTTTTACATGCTAACTCTTTTTATGCATTAAATGAGTATTTTAATTACAAAGGCACATAAATTTGAATGCTTAACGCCACATTTTAATATAGTTGGTAAGGGAGATGTGAGGAGTTGTATTGTGGTTACTTGTGACTTATGTCTGTTTAATCTTTTTACCTTGTATTGTTGTATGTGCTGGATAATTAATGTGGGTGATCTTCGCAGTTTGACTTGTGTGACTTTGTGTATGTGTTTGATGACTAATTCCACATCCTGGGTTTGTTCCCTGTATGGATGTTTATGGAAAGTGGAGGATGTATATGTATGTATATGACGAGTCCTGTATCAATGTATTTTGATTTATGGGTAAATTGTATTAATTTTAAGTTTTTATAGTAATGCACTTTTTAAATTATGTTTAGTTACAGTTGTAATAAGCGCTTGTTTTGTTTTTCTATTGCCTATGTTAGTTAACTGGTGTGTGTTATTTTAGTTGTGTGACTTATGTAATCTATTACATGTATACATCTATAATCAAATGGACTATTTCGACATCCTAGGATTTTTGCCTGTATGGATATATGGAAAATAACGGAAATGAATGAATGAATGAATGTCAATTGGTTTAGAAGATGTTAGTAGTCACAGACCTGCAAAGACATGATGATACCATAATCCCTATCTCTTCTTATAAAATACCGAAAATATGATAAAGTATACAGATAACAGAATGTCATCTATGCTGCATGTGCAGTCTTGAGTGTTGATCTTCTTATCATGTCCAGAGAATAATTCAGTACAGTTGTATTCTTTGTTTTGTTGCAGGGCAATTTCAAAGTAAGCAAGGGGGGGGGCCCAGTCTAGAAAACTGAGATTAACGGCTGTTGGAATCCGCTGTGCTGATCATGCGCCAACTTCTATCCGCAAAAAGTTGGTACTAACTTCACTCACAAGCAGCAGTCACTCAGTTGGTATAGTTCACTTGCGGACTAAAGCCACAGAGTTAATTAATGGGGGAACATACACATACATACAAACAAAGGGCAAAACAAGGCAACTTGTATAATTTAGACAGTAATAAGAATTCCATTGGTGAAATCATGAAAACCATTACACAATGAGGATAAAGTTATATGTACAATATACAGTCATCCTGAAAAATGGAATGGGCCCTGCTTGTCCCATCTAAGACTTTTGTGTTTGAGGCACCATTTTCCTTATGATTGACAGTCCAATGACAGCTGATGTGTTGTAATCAACTTAATGAGTTTCCCTGATGTTTTCAAGTTTCTCTGTGTTGTATCTGTAACCATTTAAAAAATACACCAATTTGATATCATCCAAATTATTCATAACAGCCCTGTATTTAAGAACATAAACTGTAGCAGTTGTAATTTGTTGCAGGGTATTGAGGCATTCCAACTATATCTGCATTCCAAACCCATGCAAAACATTCCTGGTTAGTTAACATGTAAAACCAATATGATTTATTAATGATACAATTGTCAATGGTCACATACATTTTTACATTTTGATTTAACGTTTTATAGTTGTCACACATGTAGATAATTTCCATACATTCTTTTTATTTATATTCAGAATATGCTGTGAAGAATATAATTTGAATCAGTAATGAAGCGGGCATTGTCCCATTCTCATCTAGTAAATTCTATCATTTGCTTGATATTGTAATGTTTATTCTGTTCTGGAGCAGTTATTCTCAGTAAACTCTGATTTCCAGGTTGGGGGTTGAATGTTAGGCTAACAATATCATCTCAGAAAACAGTGTGTGTCAGATGGTTTAGGGAAGGAAGTGTTCTAAGGCAAATAATAGAGAAAAATGGTCATGTATGATGGAAGTCAGGGTTTGTAGAGGACTGTAGCACAAAGGGGTAAGTAAGTAAGTTGCCTTGACTTACCCCTACAGTCTAGTTCAGTGCTTTATTTTGGGTTTAATTTATATTTTGGTTGCTTATTTGAAAAAAAATTGCCAGAAAAAATAGATAATAGATTACTGTAAAATTTATATTAGGCATAGGGGCAACTAACTTTACCTTCACTTCGCCATATAAGCAATGTTTTGGAGCTAACAGTTTTTATTTATATTGTGGATTGACTAACAATATGAACTGTATAAGTTTGGGTTTGGAATTTTTGTTTGTAAGAGTAGTGGTCAGGTTGTGTGGTCAGAGCCTGGTGTGGTCATGTGACTTCCTCCCACTTATCTCAGCTGCCACATGTTTCCAGGATACTGCAACTTCCTGTCTCCATGTTCCTACATGAACACACGAACTGAAACACAGAGGCAGGTGATATCAGTGCATGTGTTTAAGGTTTAGAAATCAAGGCTCCCAGCAAAATTAAATTTCAGTGTATAAGATTATGCAGACAAGAGTGCACACACAGACTTTCTACATACCATTCTCTTGAGGTGTTTGGCTTTACAGGATAGATGTTTTTCTGAATGAAATTAGAACTGGGGACCTCTTCAGCTTGACACAGATATGTCAGTCACCACACAACTACATTTCAGTATTTTAGAATATATAAAAAAAAAATAAAGCTATCCCTGTAACAGGCCGTGAAGGCCCATAGGGTTGTGAGACATTAAGGGTCCCACATTACCTTGACACATGGCTCAGAGATGGCCGTAAGGTTGTCAGCCTTACGCGCTGGCCGCGTTACACTCCCCAGGAAAATCATTTAATTAATTCCTGGTACTCATTTCTGTTAGAGGCTGAGTAAACCCCAGGGCCTAGTGCGGCCGGAAGAATTAGGTCAATTGAAAAAATCCAATGACCTCATCGGGACTTGAACCCGTGACCTTCCAGCTTGTAGCATAGAACCTTAACCACTGTGCTACCGTGTACCCCCATTTTAGAATATACTTCTAGAAAATAAATTATATGATAAACCAGACTTGCTGTGACTGTCCCTTCCCATCTTGTTCATATCACCATCTGTTCTAAGCATCTTCTGTAACTGTTTTAGTTTTATCAGACAGCCTAATAGCAATCAGTGTGATGTCCATTTTGATGCATTGTATCCTCACTTCCTTCTTGCAGCCAAGGTTCTCACAGCAGTAGTTATGAAGTGAAAGTGTCTAATATTGTTGTTTCTTCTGCAGATAATGATTTTGGTAGATTATAAACTGGAATGGATTGGAATCAGTTAAGACATATCCAAGAGAATTTTTCTTCCTGTACAACCATAATACTAAATCCTGACAATGGCTAATGTGATCCTGAGCTAGTTCCGTCCACCCCTCATCCTCACGTCCCATCTTCCGAAGTTCTGTCCAGATATTTTCCCACCATCTCTTTGGTCTTGCATATGGTTGCTTTTCAAAAGATTCCCCGCCAGAGTTTTGTATAATCTTTTCTCCCAATATGAGCTGCATGCCAAGTCCATTGTAACCAGCTAGGTGTTGCTGTGCTTACAGTATTAGACCAATATAAATTATGGATTTTTTCATTATGTAATTTGCTAAATTGGCTACTGTACCGTTTGTTTGGTTCCATCCTTCTCAATTATTAACATTAAAATTACCTTCGCTGTATTTGTCCTTCATTTTCTTAATTAAGAAGATCAGTTATACTGAAGAAGTTGTGCCATGGTTTATGAGGCACAGTGCTAATATTTGATGCAACACATCTTCCTGGTTGCAAGTTGTGTGTAAACAGAGGGTTGGAATGCCCCTCCCCTTTCCTGTTTCCTGTTGTTCACAGTAATCATGCCTTTTCCTGTGGGAGCATTTGAAGTGTATAAGATCTGTTCCATCAGTCTTGCTGTGCCACTCTCCAGAGGTTACAGCTCTGTTGCGGTGTGGCTCATCACCAGGCATCTTGCGTGATGTTGGACCCTGCTAGCTGCCTAGTGAAGGGCAACATCGGGGCAGAGCCATGCATCCCACTGAAGGCTTAGACACTGGGTCTTACATGAACGGTTTCCAAATGTTCTGTTTGTGCAGGTGTAATGGACTTCCTCTCTACTGACATTTCACTTTCAAAGCAGAAGATGTTTAGTCTGGTGACATTTGTTGATACGCCTGAACTTGTGAATGGAGATTCGCATTATCCATTTGATGTCAATGAGGCAATTCTTTGGCTTGGTAAGTCAGCGTCTTTTATGGGTGTTATCTCTGAGTATCTTCTGAGCCTCTCATTTGTAAAGATTGTTTGTTATCTTCTAGGCCCTAAGGTTAAAGGCTCTTTCACATTTTTAAAGTTGCAATGAACATAAATAATACTTGGTGATAACATATCAAATTTATCACAATTCAAAATTGGTAAAAATTTCATAAGCAGAAAATCTAGATTACACTCTCTCAGATTAGTTCCCCAGATTTACCAAAGGTGATAGCATGTAGATGATGTCGTAAGCTAAGAAAATGTGGGTTCTAGACAAAGTCAAGTCAAAAATATACATATGTCTCTGTATTGAGAATTTAATATGTTTAAAATTATGTGAGTATTTTTGACAGGAAACATGGTTGTCCTGATATTCACATTCTTTGATCAAATTGGGCAGGCACTGTGTAGATGGACCCTGAATCTGGTGGACAGACTTAATTCTGCTCATGCCAAGAAGATGCACTTCTGTCTATCGAAGGCAGGTGATGTTGGTAATAAATCCAATAGACGAAGGTAAAATGAAAAGCCAAGTCAGATTTAATAATTTAAATTATATGTGCTTCATAATTGAAATTCCTAGTTAGTCTGAACATTAATAGTGACTTAAATTTTTGGTTTATGACATACACGTTATGCTGAAGAGGACACTGGGACATAAGAGAGAGGAATTTATGGGAAAATGGAGAAAATCCTATAATAAGGAGATTAATAATTTGTACCTCTCTTAGTCATTGCTGTTGCGATGAAACCTTGTTAAGGACATGTAGAAGGGAATGTGGAATTAAGCTATACAAGCAGAATTTTAATTGGAAAACATGAAAGCGAGAGAATTTTGATGTATCCTTACATTAAGATTTTTTTCTTCTTCATAAGACATATTACATTGTAGATAATTACAAATATAAAATTCTTGCTTGTAATTGGGTTTACTCTCAAATTTCCATAGCTTGGGCCAGTGACTGGCTCTTGTGGGTGTAGTAATGAACCATTTACAGACTTTTCCCTGATTTACTTTTTTGTAAGATGTGTAATATTATAATTCCTTTGTGTACAGTCTGTATTGTTGAGAGGTACAAGACAGTTTTAAAATTGGATGAACAATCTTGTTTTCTTGACATTATACATAAAACAGGTCAAAATCTGATTGGACAAAGACCAACCTGTGTTATACATAGCCATTCCTACATGTGCGAGGGTGAAGCTTTGGTCATTCATGCAGAGATTGAGATGAGAAAATATTTCCTTATCCTATAGCTCTTACTATAGGATTCATGAAATTGGGTGACAGTAGGAGCATGGATTGATGCCATATGCTATCTGGCTGTCATGGAAGTGGTCAGCGTCATTTGGTGCAGTGTATATTCATATACTGATTTTCTGATACGATTTTAAGTGGTTTAGTGATGTGATCTATGGTATTTATTTCAATAATCTTGTTTACTGGGTTTTAAAAATATGAGAAGTAAGCAAGCATGGTGTTCTCCGTAAACAAACAAGAAAACTGGTATGTAATGTGTACTGATACTTCAAGCACAAACAGATGATGTTACTTATGCAGCATTTGATGTCATAGCCCTGTCTGCCTAGTGAACTTTGTGTACCTACCCTCCTTCATGAGTCATAATCTTTACAGAATAATACAAGGTTCTATCGGAAAGTTCCCAGACTAGGTCAAAAAATAAATGCTGGCTAAACTTACTCAATTTTGGTTGCCATCTCCTTCAAAATAGTCTCCTTGGGAACATATACAGTAATCCCATTGTTTTTTTCAGTGCTTGAGAAGCACCATGGAAATCAGTTTCCTCAATGCTGTTGAGTACCACTTGTGATTCCCTTTGGATGTCAGACACTGTTTCAAAATGTCATCCCTTCCATTTCATTTTCAATTTAGAAAACAAAGCAAAACCACAGGGGGCTAAGTTCGGCAATTAGGGAGCCAGCTTTTGCTGATTTGATGTTTTAATTGTAATATATTAATGAAAAGTGTATTTTTAATTTTGTAATAATAGAGGAGGTGCCATGATGTGTTGCAGCAAACATGGTGTGTAAACCAAATAGAGGAGGTATGTCAGGACATGGAATGCACCATCAGAACACATTGCGTGCACTGGAGCAAGACTGTGAAACCATTATGTTGCTGATAGAAAAGCGTCAAGAACAGGACAGTGTGTACTGCAGTTATAACTTCAGGACTTACAGTACAGGTATGAGTGAATGAATGAATGTATGAGGGGTGGGATATAATAATCAGGCCCTTGCATTGCGACCTTCTCTGATCTCTTGTGCTACAGTAGAAGTAACAAAAACCATATCATTTTTTTTTTTCTTACTTCAGATATTTTATTAGTAATATTATATGATGCCTGCATATTTTCAAGGCGGTTATTTAGTTGGATGTTTTTCAAAATGGCCATGCCATAGCTCAAGCGGTTAGTCGCTGGCTTCCCACCGCGGCAGCCTGAGTTCGATCCTGGGTCTGGTCAAGTGGGATTTGTGGTGGACAAAGTGGCAACTGGGCAGGTTTTCTCCAAGTACTTAGGTTTCCCTTGCCAATCTTAATTCCACCAATTGCTCCACAATCACCCTCACCTATCATCTGGGGCTGGTGCAATAGGCCAGAAGTGACCACAGTACAAGGGAATTAGTCCCACCCCACTAGCAATAAAGAAAAAAGAATAGTTGGATGTTGATTATTTTGTGATGCTGTGTTAAAATCATGCATGATAGAATGATTGTGAATGATAAGGAAGCGAGGGGAGTATGCAAGGTCTATTTTAAGGTACTTTGAAAGCATTCATCTGTAAGGACTAAAGAAAATAATGAAAGCTTCAGTTTATGTGTTCTTTAGCCTGGATTCATATTGGGTGCTGCCTGAATTCAGATCTGTGCCAACCAGCTTGGTAGGTGTGGTCTAGTAATCGCATGCTGAAAAGTGACAGCTTATTTGCCTTCACACCATTTGTTTAAACAGTGTAATTTCATATAGCTCTGTTTGTACGTATTGTTTTAATTCGTGGATTGTGCCTTTTATATCTATGCCAGCACCTCTGAATTCTCTTCTATGTTCACTTCATGCTTGCATCAGCGTATGGTTATGCATGCAATTATAAAAGAACAGTGTTACATGATACAGTAGTTAAGTGTGACAAATAATTACTTTTGGTCATATTCTGTATTTTTTATTGAAAAATAATCTCATTAAATTCACATTTATCGTAATCTTTCCCAGTATTAAGAATAGTTGGCCTCTTCATTGAAAACAGTTGTGATATTTCTTCAGAAGACTTCTTAGTATTTTTTCCTCTGTTGTTAATTTGTAATTTTCTGGGTTTCTTGTTCAAACTCGTTCTTTTAATGTGGTCTTTACATTTACATTTATTTTCACTTCATGGATCCAATCATCTCCCCATAGGGCTGGATATAAAACATGTCACATATTACAAATTCATGATGACTACACATCATTCATACTTTGTCCAGTAAAAGATATAATCAGGCCTCTCACAGATAGCTCAAGTTGTCAGGACAACACACATGGGTCATGGAAAAACCACAGTCAAATTCATGCCTTGCCATTCCACACACACTGGCAAGCTGTACCATTAAAACAGTTACAATTATAAAATATTAAAATTCATAACAAAAACAGACATCATACATACTACTACAATTACACCAAGCAAGTCTCAATAATATATAATTCATGCACATAGACCATTTATTAACTCTTAACTTTTGAGCCCGTTGCATGCTCGACAAATTCATCAATAGAGTAAAATACTTTACTTTGCAGATCATTTCGTAAAACAAACCTAAATTGCTTTTTATCATTTTTAAAACTGTGATATTTGATGGCAGGGTGTTAAATAGCTTGACGCCTGAATAATACACCCCTCTCTGATAGGATGATAAATGTGTTGAAGGTATATGAAGGTGGTCATTCCTTCTGAGTTCATTCTGGTGTTTCTTTTTTGTTCATTCTTTTGTTATATTTGAATTTAATTATTTAGAAATTAATTGTCCTGGTAATATATTATTAGAAGGATTGACTGAAGGAGGATGAGATGGCAGGTCATGCAGCACACACGGAAGAGAGGTGCATACAAAATTTTGGTAGGGAAGCCTGAAGGAAAGAAATCACTAGGATGACCTAGATGTAGATGGGAAGATACTATGAAAATGGATCTTAAATAAATAGAATGGGAGGATGTGGACTGGACATATCTGGTCCAGGATAGGGGCCAGTGGTTGTCTGATGTGAACATGGCAGTGAACATAGGGTTCCATAAAGTGCTGGATGTATCTCATGTGGTTGGGCAAGTATTGGCATCTCAAGTGGCAGTCTTCTTCTTTGAGTTAGGTAGTTACTCAGTATGTTAGTTAGGAACTGTCCTTCATTTATAGGAGAATGGATAAGAAATGAAATGTGTTTCACAAATTTTAAATTCTTGTATATGTGTGTGTAGTTATAATGCTGGGAGCCAAGATGGCCATCCTCTCACTGCATTTCATCCTGGATGTGCTCGTGACTGTCCCCAACAGGACCTTGCTGCACTCTGTGCTTGCTGTCAGTTTCACAGACAGCCTTTTAACATATTTTGTAAGTACACAGAGACTTACTTTGTATCATCATCATCACCCATTGATGTTTCCATCAAAGTGTCCACTGTCCTATGTTGTGACATCCTTAATACTGTCATGTGTATAATGTGACAGTAGTTGGGTTTTGGATTGGTGATGATATTAATTTGACTCTTTCATACAGTGTGTGACTGCACACACGCATGCACACACTAGTGTCCACAGTCATGGTTTCACTAGCCATTGTTCGGTAGCAGCTTCCTATGGTGGATGTTCCCCTTCCTCTGGGTTACAGAACTGTCCCCAGCCTCAGCTAGCAGCTTCTCACAGCAACATCTGACAGTGAGAACTCAACTCTCTCACCAATGAACTGCTCTTTACTTCTCTCAACTTAACTGATTCTCACCAACTAACTGTCCTGCTGATAACATATCAGTGCAGACTGCACAGAAATCACTGCTCCATTATTGCTGCACAGTTATTGTCATGGAAACATGCTTGTTTGTGAAATAGTTACTTAGCAGCAGCTGTTGTATAGCTCCTCCTTTTGTGGCCGTTGCCTAGCAGCAGGTCTGCATGCCACAGTGTGTAGTAATTACAATGAGATGATGTAATGGATTTCTTTGTCTTTGTCAAAACAATTTGCTGCTTGTATTCAGATTTCTCTCTGTTTTCTTTTGGTACTTGGTTGGTTTAGCAGAATTTATTAAGAGTTTTCATTTTTCTTATGTTGTGATCATTACTTTTAAGTCAGTTTAATTTTACAATGAGATGTGTTAATAAATGTTTCTTTATGGAACAGTGCCTTTATCTCACACCAAGAAAATGCAATGCTGATCTAATTATAATGCAACTGAAGAAGCTGAATATGTACTAAAGAAAGTCTAAAAGCAAGAAACATTAAATGGAAGTTCTCCCTGTTTATGTTTTGTTGATACCTTTGTTTTATATGTCTTTTCCAGTTTTCATTATGTTAGTTTATATACAACTCATATTTTGGAATTTATTTACTTCAAGTATTTACAGTATTTTCACACACTGAATACTTCCCATTTCTACCCATAGTTAATTGCTGCTAGTATAGTGTTAAAAATATTGTGAATTCATTATATTCCAGTTTCCAGTCTCCATAATGTGATCAATGCTTCCAAACAGATTCCAATGGATTGTATTGCTGATTGTTGTAATTGGTTGAGGGGGGCCTCTTAATCTTCTGCAAATGGTCCCTGTGACTGCAACTGACACTCTCTCAGAAACACAAGAGACAGTTCCTCGAGATGAGGGAACATGTGGAAAAAGTAGTGAAGGCAAAAAAGGTAATTCTAATTTCTTATTTGCTCATTCATTCATTCATGGTTTATTTAACAACACTTTCAATTGTTAAGATTATTCTTTTTTATTTAATCCACCCAGCAGTATTAACTTGTATGAAGCGTTCATGTCATGAAGCTTTGCATCATGCGTTCTCTCCATATCCTGTTCGTTCATCCAGGTCCAGATATTTCCCATATAACTCAGTTCTGTTATACGATGACCCCCCACATCCCATTGTAACTTACATTCGAACAAAGCGGAACTATACAAAAGTCTGGTGTGTTGAAGCAGCACTTTTACCATGAATATCTGTTGCAGAGCGTGGGTGTCCAAGACCTGTGAAGAAAATTAATGACATTTGGCCTTTCAACACTGCAACATTTGTCATGACATACTTCAGAATGCGTGAAGGGAGTTTAATTAACTTCCATGGCAGACCACAGTATTTTAGATTGTGCATAGTTTCATATTTTGTTATTGTCTGATAATACTATACTATTTTTATTGTAATCAGGACTTCTGAGTGTGATGCATATATTTCTGATGGAATCAAACTGAAAGCAGTCTAGGGAGACAGGATCACAAGGCTTTGCTTCATTTACATGAATGCATAAGATGATTCATAATAAGAAGGTCATACTTGTTCATTTGTATATTTCATCTTGTCTGGTGAATTTCATTTTGATTCTTCTGGTGCATGTGAATGCCTTTATGTGAAACTTCAAACTTAATTTCTCAGAAATAGATCATTGTGTTAAAAGTGGTACATGATATTAAGTTGTAAAATCATTAACTGTATCTTTTTAAATTAATAAACCCATTAGTTATAATTTTCATATGACCAATAATATTTATAATTAAAGTAGAAAGGAGTATAATTAGTGCTACTGTATGGTGCAAGCTGATCACAGTGGCTGGGCAGTCTAAGGCATGAACCATCTTTGCCTGCTTGAACACTGGGGTCTTGGGTTCAAGTCCCACTTGAGGTATGGATGACTTGTGTGCATTTATTCTGGTTTTGTGTTGTACTGTGTGTAGGTAGCAGCCTTGGAATAGGCTGATCCCCTGTCCAAGGAGTGATACCAACTGTGTATAGGATTAAGAAACTGAAGAAGCGGCCAAGGTCCAAATGGCTGTAGAGCTAGAGAGAGAGAGAGAGAGAGTGTATGGTGTAATATCTGTACTGTTGATTGGCTTTTTCAGAAACAGGATTTGTGACAGCATTGTGGTACCTCTACCATAGCTTAGTTCTGTCAAAAAAATTTCTGTCAGCAATAAAATAATGGATGATACAAAATTACTAAAAATACAGTATAGTTGGAGTTAGAAAATCTCCATTCCTCTGTGGGTAAATAATTTTTATTGTGTTTGTGTTATTTCCGTTATACTGTAGAATATAACTTGGACTGTATGATGCTATGGTTCACTTTAAGTATAGTAAACACAACCAAACTAACAGTTCCATGACCACAGAGAGATGTAACATGGAATCAAAGGTTCATTACCATGTTCACAAGATCCCTCCACTTGTCCCCATCCTGAGCCATTTTAACTCATTCCATACCACTGCAGCCTATTTCTCTAAGGTCCATTTTAATATTATCTACATCTAGTGCCTCTTGGTGGTCTCTTTCATTCTGCCTTTCCAACTGAAATCCTGTATGCATGCCCCTTCTCTGTACATGCTACATGCCCTGCCTGTCTCATCCTCCTCGACTTAATCATTCTTATTGTATCTGGCGTAGAGCACAAGTTATGAAGCTCCTTATTATGCAGTCTTCTCCAACCTCCTACCGTGAAGAAAGAATGAATACGAAAATCAGTGGTATGAACATCATCTACAATTGGGTCATAAAAAACATATGCAGCATAAAACTGCAAGATATAGGGATGTAGAATGATCCAGAACAAGATTGGAGGATTTGTTCCGAGACAGAATTGGTCTGAAGCTCACCTTGCAGCTGATGATGAATATAGTTTTGAGAAATTAGCTCTATTTCTGTCCAGTTAGGTGACCATGATTTATGAAAAGTCATCTCAGTTGATCTCTGTCAAATGAAAAGATGCTAAGTGACCATGTATGTAGAGTAGGCAAATTATTTGTGCTCTATCCCCAGCCATATGATATTTAATGGAAAAGATTAAACTGTGCCTGGATTATGATTTTTATATTTCTCGTGTGTTGTATTAGAGAAGCATGCCCAACTATGGGCAGATAAAATAGAAACCAATACACGTTTTATTGTAGATGGTATACAGAGAATTGATAATTCTTAAAAAGTTATTGTGTGGAAGGTTCACATACAATGATACCTTTCCATATTATGGATGTTCTTGTTTTATTTATTTGTTCTGAAACCTTACATAAGAATGAATGAAAATGCCCTCAGAGCTGTAGGAAGTGATTTTTAACTGAATGTTTTTGAATATAATCATTATTTTGATGTTTGTGTATGACCAGTATCATTTAATATTTCCCGTGCTGGTAATCGATCAGATAATAAACCAAAACTAACAAGAAGCTCATGTGAGCCCCTTGGAGCACATGCCTGTGCTTTCTACTTGTTTACTAGCTTCATTGTGGTTCCTTCCTTGGTGTATTTTTTGACCCTGAAAATGAAGACAACGTGTTCCACTGTAATTGAATTGAATTGAATTTATTTACATTCTATAAATCCTAAGTAGGTTAGTACCTTTGGATACAGAACAAGTCAAAAGGTTACATACATAAGTACAGGCAATTTTAGCTTAAAAATTAATATAACTTAATTTTACATCATTCTCTATTTACATTGAAGTATTCATCTAAAGAGTAGAAGGAATGAGCATGTAGATAATTCTTTAACTCTGATTTAAACTTTTTAGTATCATTGCCCAAGTTTTTAATACTTTGTGGCAGATTGTTGAACACTTTTATGCCAGTAAAGTAGACTCCTTTTTGATCACATTTATTTAAATTTTGACCTTGAAATTTTACATCCCCATACTTAGTCTCAATGTGTACTTATAAGCCGCCAAACACAAGATGTAAAATGCAAATTTGGCATTGATTGACTTTCAGTGGACAACACCGCATTATACCCCAGAAGATATAACTTTCCTATGAGTATGTTGATCAAAATGGATTCATAAACTCTCAGTGAATATATATTTGAAGAATTCAGTTGCTGACATCCTGGTTTTTATTTAAAAACGTTTTGCAAGCTGGACCCCATCATCATTCTCAGGTAAGAGCCTACTCAGCTGCGCCTGAAGAACGTTTGAAGAACCCTTCCAATCGAAAATTAAATTACTGGTGTTGCGGACTAGGCAGATGTAAAATGTGAAGAAATCCAAATTTCGCGGCTTCATCAGTCGATAGATCGAGTGAAAACGCAGGAATAAACAACCATAAATCGCATTGCGGCAATTTGCGATATTCAAAATGGACGGCTATCCAAGAACTCTGCACTACGTTAACCAAGAGACAAGGTACTTCAAATCCGTTTCTTTTCAGTTTTGAGAATAATTGTGTTGTAGAAGCTGGCAGTTGTAATAGGTAGTAGTATAGTAATATTAATTTGTATTATGTTCGTTATGGTTAGAAATACTGGTGGAGACAAGGTATATAAAACGCGTATCTTGATTTGCCTAATGTAGCATTTATACCATAGCATTTGCTGCATTGTTTGGGCTTGAGGTAAGGACGGCTGTATGGTTTTCTAGAACAATTTTTAATACGAAGAATTGTCATGACATTACATAACTTGTTAATTTAATGTTACAGAATTGTTTATACCATATGAACGAAGATGTAGTAGTGATTGATTATTTAACCGCCAAATTTGCATTTTACATCTTGTGTTTGGCGGCTTATAAGTACACATTGAGACTAAGTATGGGGATGTAAAATTTCAAGGTCGAAATTTAAATAAACGTGTGCATTTTTTATTGAATGGTGTTATTATGTAGTGATCTTAATTTTGTTTAAAATATTTTTGTTTAATTTTGTTTCAGTTGTCATGTTTTAATAACTGAAGTTTTGCTTTGATATAAAATTCATCAGTAGCTTAACCAAATGAGCCTTGTGAAGTAATTTGATGTACCTTACCCCCTTTTATTTTCCTTCAGGCAGGTACTGTGGATATTTTTTTATATTTTTTTCACCAAAAATATGCTGCTTGGTGGAGGCAATAGTTTGTTTTTATTTTTGTATATTCCACTCATAGTTGGGAGGGCGAGGGTCCATCCCACACTTCAACAAGAAACTCCTACTTTAACCATACACCAATGGCGGACTACCAAGTTCAGAAAAATGAAGGGAAAACCAACTTGATTATTAACTACCTACCCCAGAATATGACTGAGAAGGAATTGTACAGCATGTTTGTTACCATTGGTCCTGTCGAGAGCTGCAGAGTTATGAAGGACTTTAAGGTAAATCGGTAGTGTAATGCCAGAAGAATTTACAGTTAGTTTGTGATGAATCTGTATTTGAATTGGAAGTTTATTGCATTTTATTTTTCTTACATTGTTTCATTTTGTTCTCACTCCTAGACAGGGTACAGCTATGGGTTTGGCTTTGTGAATTACTCTAAGGCAGAGGATGCGTCACGAGCCATTGGCACATTAAATGGATTGCAGGTTCAGAATAAGCGACTGAAGGTATCATTTGCTCGCCCAAGTGGTGAGGAGATCAAGGAAACAAACCTATATGTCACCAACCTGCCACGGTAAGAGTAAGATATGTGGATTAAAGTACTGTTTAAAGTGTCTGTTGCTCATAACAGTAGGTTAGAGTTACTTACTCTACATTATAATTTTTTCAGTCTTTGTAGGTAGTGGGCTAAGTGTCAGGTGGACATGTGATGCAATGAAGAATCGACACTGCAGTTCACCTGAGGGAGGATATTAATTATATTATGTTTTTGTCATTAAAGTTTCATGAAGATTTTTGTCTTCTGGTATGTGACAGTATATAGTCTGGTTGAAAAGTACGACTGTTTTGGATGAATCTGCTGTCTCCAGCTTCAGTGTAGAAGAAAAACAGTACTAAGTAATTTCTGAGTCAGAAATACAGTGTACTTAATAATTTAGAATTGCCCCATCAATCCAGAGGATTTGAATTAATTAAAATAACTTTGTGGGGAAGATGGGGATTTAAATCTGACAAAGGTGTATGTTCAGATCAAAACTAACATAACTGCTTTAGTTTTAGCCAGATTTTGTAGGTATGATGTGTGAGAATATGAGGATGTAATTTATGTTACCATGGAATTTAGCTTGTGTAGTAGTTACTGAGGAGGCAGGTGGTAGCATGGTTGACGCAGTATGCTTCAAGACAGAAGGTCGTGGGTTTAGTTCTTGATGAAGTAACTGAATTTTTAGTTTACTTAATCCTTCCATCAGCACTGTGGCCCTGGGGTCAACTCAAGCCTCTAAAAGAAATGAGTACCAGGAATCTTCCTGGGGGTTTAGAGTAGCTGGCACATAAGGCTGACATCACTGCCATCTGTGAGCCAGTTGTATAGAAAATGTGGCAGCTTCAACATCTCACAACCCTATATGCCTCCACAGCCTGTTACAGGGATAGCTTTACCTTTTACCTTTATAGTAGTTATTGAAATACAAAAATAATTTTCAAGAACTTATGTTTTGCCTCAATCTGGCCTAACTTTGATAGTTATAGAGAAAATTTTCTGGTCATGCCCTGTAATATGTCGGGAAGAGAAGGACATAACAGAAATTGCCACAGTGTTGTAGCTTGATGTAATAGTCCTTGAAGCACTCAGAAGAGAAGCCAACATCATTGCTGACCCAATGTTTTATACTACAAATTCATGAAACTCGTGAGTCCAGTCATCTACTTGGATAGTACTAACATGGTGATTTATGTCTTGTGGTAGGGTTCCCCAAATTGCTTGGGGTTGATGGTGCATGATATCATTGTCTGCATCAGGAAGCTGGAGCATTGGAGAATCATGTCTTTATGGGAGGTTCCATGTTGTGAACAGAGTTACTGGTGATGAGATATTCACATATAGACATGATTAAAAGTTGTAACAGGTTGAACATACTCCTAAGATAGAGAGAAGCAGTCAGAAAAGAAATAAAGGAAGGTCAGCAAACAGTATTGCAATACAGTACTTCACACATCATTGCCAGTGATAATGCTCTAGACTTGTAGTGGAGAGGTTGTCACTTCAAATCATGGCTGGGACATTTGCTGTCCTGACTCAGGTTTTTCACGGACTTTCTCGGTCTTTCCAGGACCTTGATTAAGGCATAACTGTTACCTTACATATTTTTTCCAGTTCATCAGCCATTCCACCATTTGACACTATACGAGTATAGTCTAGATACTGACAGCGTCATTAAATAACCCACAGAAAGTAGCAGCCTCTCTTCAAGTGCTTATGCATGAGACATGAGGATCTTTTACGTGCTGTAAATGTACGACACGGGACCCACGGCTTGAAGTCCCTCCCGGAGGACTTGTTCCCTAAATTTTTCTGCCCTTAAAAATTCCACAACCTCCGTCGGGTTTGAACCCGCGTACCTTGAGTCATGAGGTGGAAATGTTACCCCTAGACTACAAAGGCCGCTGACCTTCACACATGATCCAGGCTTTGAGGAATCAAAATATATAATGACTTAATGTAACAAGAATATATTATTCCAATAAACATGTGTTAGTCCATTTGGCTACTACCTCTTGGTCCACACTTGCATTTAAGTAACTTGCAACAAACATGTTAATTGGATAGACATATATTAGCTGTTCAATTTTAGGTTCTCACAGCAAGACTGAAGAATTCCATCTTCTGGGATACAATGTCTGGTGGAAGTCAGCTGATGTTTCAGAGAAATATATTACTTCCATCTTCAGGTTCAAAGAATAAACCAGACAAACTGGCATGAAGCAGGCAGCAAGCAGAGCTTAATGCTGGAATCTTGCTTGGCCTATTTCTTAGCCCAGATGATGGAGGTGATATGTTCCTTTGAAATATCAGTTGACTCACTCAGCTATTTCATATCATATCCCAGAAGATATTCAAGCATATTAACTGTTTTGAGGTTGATTATTAACTTTTGGAGATTATGCTGATATATTTGGTGTTTCTGCAGCAACATTACAGAACAGTATCTGGATATGCTCTTTGGCAAGTATGGACAGATTGTACAGAAGAATCTCCTGAAGGACAAGCTAACAGGCATGCCCCGGGGTGTAGCATTTGTTAGGTGAGTACTTCCTTGGTATTTTTAGTTTTATTTTCCAAACTCAGCTGGTAATCGCATTTGGGACCGGTGTTTTCCTGCAGTTTTCATGTTGTTCATCATGATATGTTTGTGCTGAAATGACAACTTATGGGAGACTTCATGGTCATTATGGTAAAAATGTTTTTCGTGCAGGTTTGACCGTCGTGATGAAGCACAAGAAGCTATCAATAGTCTAAATGGTATTGTCCCAGAGAATGGGACCGAGCCACTAGTAGTGAAGATTGCAGAGGAGCATGGCAAGCAAAAGGCTGCCTATTATGCAGGTTGGCAAGCAGGATACAACCAGAGTAGAGGTAAGTATCTTGCAAGCTTCTTCTGCATCTTTTTTTTTGTAAGAAGTTCTTTACCCAATTTGTGTTGCTTGTTAAGAATTAGCTGTGCTCTGTGCTCTTATTTTGCATATATATATATATATATATATACAGTGTGTCCAGGTTCTGGTAGGACTGTGTTCATTAAAAGTATAAGACGTGAATTATTTTCAAAATTTCACTCTTTTTATTCAAAATAGTCTCCTTCTGAATCAATACATAGCTGGAAACAATTGAAAAGTTTTAGAAAACAGTCACTGTACTCCTTTTGTGGTGTTGTATCCCGAAGTTCCTCGCTGGATGCCCGGCGCTGGCGTATCGTGGATATTACCTGCGCACGAGTCACGTCTAGGTCTGGTGCTCCCTAGGCTGGGGCGCGCGTGGAAATCGCTGGGTATGTGGGTTGACAGAGGAGGATCGTTTGGTCCGACAAGAGTGGTGTAATCAGCACATTGAGTTTATTAACTAATTTCTGTAGATTACACATGTACGCTACACCTGAGGACTGATAGCTAGGGTTCCAGGGAGGGAAGGCTGTCTTGGCTCTACCTAGCCGCTATCTCGGTCAACGACTAGTCTCTCGCTCCGTCTGCATCAGACTGTCTACATTCTTTGTTTTAATAACACACCAGTCGTAAGGAATATTTCAGAGCAGGGCTCTCTTAGTTTGCTTGCTTATGTCTGGCCTCTTTTTTGTGTGGGCTTCTCTCCCTGTACCCTATGTTACGTGCTTTTTAGCAGCCACAGCTGCGTGAGACGGAGGTCACGCGTCTGACCCCCTTGGTTATCTCGACTGCATACTTTCGTCCTCCTGTGTCGCTACCATTTCTGTTACATTTCTATTAAAATTAAATGCTAATGAAATAACATATTAAGAGTAAATGCAAATGAAGTAACATAGCGTATACAATACCTTTACCAAATGAAACAGTTCTTATACAACAATAACGCATATACAACACCTCCCCCGTTAAGTGGAAGGACCATTTACACTTCAATGGGTCCTTAGAAATATGATTTAGCTAGCCGGGGTCTGAGGGACCTCCGGGTAGGGGTTTCGTCCTGCAAGGATTGGGTAGATCCTCGGAGGGGAATGGTTTCGGGGCTTGCGACCAAGCTCTCATTACTTGTCTTGATGTTTATATTTACCGTGTTCCCCATTCCACCAGAGCCTGTCGCTGTAATTGCTTTCATAGCCGCCGTGGTCGTCCTGGGGTTGCCGGCGTGTAACCAGCGGTTCCTTACATACCTATACAGTTTGTAAAATGCATACATACCAATAATTGCAAAAATAATATATACCATTACAGAATAGGACATATGGCTGCTGATGTGCTTGTTTTTCCATTCTTGTTCCTGTATTTCCTTTTCTAGGTCGGAAACCTTGAAACTAGCATATTTCAAATCATTTAAGTGGGAAACAATTTGCTTGAACTTCATATCTAAATGTATGCTACTAAGGTTGACCCTCATATTGAGTTCCTCACAACAATCAAATCGGAGGGGGACTTGCGTGAGCAGGTCTCCTCCTTTCACAGATGAATTACTGGCTACAGTAAAACTGGTTTGCAGCAACGCCGAGGTGCTATACCCTTTGCACCCACTATTGATACTTAATTTTCCCACTCCTGTAAGCAACACGTCAGCAGGTTCCTTCCCGTCACATAGCACTGTTACACTGTCTATGGAAGGGGAGAAATATATCCATTCATTATTCATTAACTGTACCCATACAGTATTAGTTAATTTCGCTATTCTAGTTTCACAACTCCTTGGGATCCTCTCATTTGACTGCAGTAGCCTAATGTAACAAGACTCATGTACATGGCTAGACATTAAAGGATGTTTTTGTTTGCACACATATGAGTTGGAGTCCTTGGTTTTACATTGCCTTAGCTCGTCTTCGGTTAACATTAAGTAATATTGTCTTGCTTGATCAAGGCACAACATGGATTCAGCAGTATCAATATACAGAAACTTATTTAAGTCTAGCGCTACTGGTATTGGAGTCATTTTGAGTATCTTAAAATTTCCTCTGTTCACCAGTGGTAACTCTACCACGTAACCCAATATACCATCACTCAAATAGACATGTATATCACAAATTTTAAGCAGTAAGTTTATAGAGTCTTTGCTCAAGGGGAAGGGAGCCATAGTTTCCTTAGGAAAAGACGGGAAACTTCGTGTTAAGGCGTCCATCAGGAGGCTGGGGGGTACCACTTGCGGTTGCAGAATTCCCTTCCTCGCGTTGATAATGCTATCAATCACTACATCGAGGCTTCTTTGTAGAGTATTCAATGCCTCATTCACGCGTGCAATGTGGCTTTCTACCGTAATCTTATCAGCCAAAGCATCAGTAACTCGGGTGGTATTTGAAATCACTGATTCTACATACGCCTTAATTTGGGATAGTCCCCTCTTTACGACATCCTCATTGTACTCCATATCCGAGAGGGTTTCGTTTATGGCCCCTAGAGTGGATTTTACTACAGACAACTGTTGTTTCAACAGGTTCGTCATGCTATCAGAATTTTCTTCAAAGTGTCGTATCTGCTCATTGTAATATTTAGCATCATCATTATCCATAGTTCCGAAAAGAATCTTACTAATTTCACCAACGAAATTAAGTACTCCCCTTCTTATGCGTTTTCCACTGTATTTTGGATCAGTTACCTCTAGCAATAATTTTTCAGTCCCCTTGATCTGTCGAATTTTACGTTCTGCTATGTCATGGAAATAATTACACTCCGTCTGGTTCTTTACCGCGAGTTCGTGGCACAGTCTGCTTATGTGCTTAATATATTGTTCTATTCCTACCGACTGATTGACGGTTTGTTTAAGGTCCACATACACTATGGTCCTCCAGTTCGTGTTGTAGAAGTTTGCCTGGCCTATGTTTTCATAATAGATACCTGGCGATTCCTTGTACTTTTCCAAGGTATATCCTAAGTCGTCGATGTCTGACGCCACGCCCCTTGCTATAACCATCCATACCGTCCACGCTATCAGCGCTATCGTTTGGATTCCCATCTGCAAAAGAAAGTTGGTGCTGCTATTCTTTTGTTGTCACACATGGTATATATGTATATATAGATATAGATATATATATATTTTTTGAACTTCCTTATCTTCCTAGTAAAACGGCTTCACCCTATTTACATGCACTTTTTGCACTCTCTTTCCCCTCTTAATGGTAACATTGACCTTGTCTATAGCTACAACTTCGTAAGGTCCTATCCACTGGGAGCTTAGTTTTTTCGATCTCCCCCGTCGCACTGTCTCGTCATACAGCAATACTCTGTCTCCTTCTTGGAGTTCTAATCTCTCAGTTTCCTTATCGTAATGTTCCTTGCTTCTGATTTTACTCGACAACAAGTTTTCCTTAGCAGCCTGATGGGCTGTTTGCAGTCTCTTTTTTAACTCTGCTACATAGTCGTCGTAGTTGTACTGGGGACTTGGGCTGTCCGCCAGTGCTGAAGGTAAAGAAGACTTGCGACCGAAAATTAATTCGAAGGGTGTATGACCCGTGGCTGAGTGCTCGGTCGTGTTATAAGTAAACATGGCAAACGGTATCCACTCGTCCCAGTTCGATTGGTCTTCTTTTACATAGTGTCTTAGGTATTCTGCCAATACACGGTGACTCCTCTCGAGTCCGCCGTTCGATTCCGGATGGAATGCGGTCGACTGAATCTTTTTGATCTTAAGCATCTTGCACGTGCTCCTAAACACGTCACTGAGGAAGTTGGCGCCCTGGTCAGTTAACACCGTATTCGGAGTCCCATATTTGAGAACAACCTGCGTCACAAACTCCCTAGCTACCGTCTCCGCGTCCTGGTGGCGCATCGGTGCTGCGATCACGTACTTGCTTAAATCATCCTGAAACGTTAAAATATATCTATTTCCCTTTTCAGTTTCTGGCAGTGGTCCTACTATGTCCAGGCTACACCTGTCGAATGGATTATCCGCCGTAGTCGTTATCTCCATCGGAGCCTTTTTCCTGGGTTTTAGTAACTTGTTCACCTGACAACTTCGGCACTTCTTCACGTAGTCTTCGATTTCTCGTCTCATGTTAGCCCACGCATAACGCTCTTTGATCGCCTTGTAAGTCTTATTCATGCCCCTGTGCCCACCCAGGGGTGCGTCATGGAATTCATACAGAATTTGTTTCTTAGTGTCCTCGTCCAAATCGACCCTCTTGTCATCTTTCATCAAACTACCTATCCGACTGAGTGCGTCCGCGTTCGTGTTCAATGAACCCTTTTTGTAGAGTATCTCGAAATCATACTCCTCTAGTTTAATTCTCCACCGGAGTAACCTTGATCCTGGGTCCTTGACATTCATTACCCAAGTAAGTGGTTTATGGTCGGTTACTATTTTGAATCTGCGACCATACAAATAGGGTCTAAAGTATTTTACCGCCCAGACGATTGCAAGAAGCTCCTTCTCGCTGGTGGTATAATGCGTCTCAGCCTTGTTCAGGCTTCGGCTCGCATAGGCTATCGGCAAATCCTTTCCTATCTCCCCTTGTGATAACACGGCCCCTAGACCGTCGTTACTCGCATCCGTGGTGACGATAAATTCTTTCGAAAAATCAGGGTATTGAAGTATGGGCTGGGTGGTTAATTTGGATTTCAACCTGTGGAATGCATGCTCCTGTGCCTCCGTCCACTCAAACTTTGCATCCTTCTTCAATAACCGGTGTAAGGGTGACGCAATTCTACTAAAGTTTTGGATAAACTTCCGATAGTAACCTGCCATTCCGAGAAACGATTTCAATTGCTTCGCGGTGGTGGGGGTTTCAAAATTCTCTAAAGCGCGTATCTTGGCGGGGTCGGGTCTCACCCCATTTTCAGTGATTACGTGCCCAAGGTAGCTCACTTCTTTCCTCAAAAATTCACATTTCTCAGGTTGCAGCTTCAATTTGTATCGCCTCAACCTTTCAAAAATTTCTCTTAATTTCATATCATGCTCTGCTAGTGATCTGGCATACACAACAATGTCGTCCAAAAATGCGAAACATCGCGTTCCAGTTAACCCACTAAGGACGGTATTCATCATCCGCTGGAATGTGGCTGGGGCTGTCTTTAACCCAAAAGGTAGCCTCCTATATGCCCAATGGCCATGTTTGGTGCTGAACGCTGTTTTCTCTATATCTTTCTCTTCTAACTCGATCTGATGGTACCCCATTACCATGTCCAAACATGAAAAGTATTTACATTGTCCTAACTGATCTAAAATTTCTGTTATGTCCGGCAGCGGGTAGGCATCCCCCACTGTCTTCTCGTTCAACCTTCGAAAGTCCACGACCATTCGCCATCGTTTTTCACCATTCGCGCCCCCCTTTTTGGGTACCACTAGGATAGGGCTGTTCCACGGGGAATCACTTTCTTCTATGATCCCTTCGTGTAGCAACTTCGTGACCTGTCTGTCTACCTCCTCTTTCTGGGTCTCCGGGAGTCTGTAGGGCCTCGTATTTAAAGGTGACGTCCCCGGTACCAAATTTATAGAATGTTTTACTGCGTTAGTGCAGCTTAACTGGTCTCCTGGCACATAGAATACATCTTGATATTCTAAACATATCTTGGTGAGAGACTCAAGCTCCTCGGGATTGAGGTGCTCAGTCCTCAGCTGTTCCAAGACATCCTCGTCTCTGCATTTCCCCATTTTTCTCTCTGTATCAGTTGGAGGTATTGCCACAACCTCCGGAATTTCCCTCAACTCAGCCACCGGTTCCTCAATCTCTACTTCATCATCCCTCGTATTTAACATACTGGTTATCACGTATCCATTTACAACCTTGGTCAGGGATCCTGCCATATATACTCCATCTAAAACCTCCCGCTTTTCAAGTAGTCCTTCCGCGGTTACGTTTCCTGCTGCGACCGGCAATTTCACTATTACCTCGGATCGTCTGGGTAGGGTTATTGTTCTGACAGCACGGTTCTGTTCTATCAGTTCACATTCTCCCTCCCTCCTGCTGAGTAACCTTTTCCGAATTTCAAAACCTTCATGCCGAAACGTCAGAGTTCCGGTTTCGTAGCAAATCTTTGCTTGTGTCTGACGAAGGAAGTCCCGTCCTAGGATCCCGTCGCACACAATGTCCACCTGTTTACTAACCAGCTGGAACGTGAAGGGAACTTCTACACTTCCCTCTCTTATTCTGGTTTCTATCGTCCCATGCGTCTCGGTTACCGACCCATCTACACTCTTAATTTTTACCCTGTCTCTGGGTTCGAAGGCGACCGTTCCGATCAGTTTTTCACTTTTCAGGATACTAACGTCAGCTCCACTATCAAGGAGTAGGTACAACCGGGTTTCGTTACTTACATCTAGGTTCAAACCCACATACTCGCAAAGATTCTTATCAGTACAGCCTATTGAGTAGAGGCGACCGTTGGACGGCTGTTCTCCGTCGGCCACCTCCCGTTTCCCGTGATTAGGGCTTTCCCTCTCTCTCGGCGGCCTTCTGCAATGTCTGGCCACGTGCCCCCTCTCTCCACAACGGAAGCAAGTAAAGTTTTTAATATTATCTGGCTTCCTTGCAATAACTGGGTTAGCTCTCATCTCCCTTTTTTCCTTGTTATAACATTTACTGCTCATATGTCCCATTTTCCCACACGAACTGCACCTGCTTGGGCCGGTTCCCTCATACTTATACCTATCCTGCTTCGATACGATGGCGCTTTCCTCCACGAGTGCTGTTTCTGCTATCTCGTCGAAGTCCCTATAATTCCTACTTCGGACTATAGTTTGGATCCGGTCCGAGTGCAAGCCTTGCACGAAACAGATATTTCTTAACCTGTCGGATAAATCAAGTATCCCTTCCCGTGCCCCTTCTGTACTATTTAGCAGGGCGGCTTCACGAAACTGTGAACCCAGTGTCTGAATCCTTTGGATCCATTCCGACACCCTCTCGTCTTTGCCTTGTTTCGACCTGAAGAGTTGGCTCGCGTGGAAGTCGAGCGTTCTCTTTTCGACATACGAGTTTTTCAAAAATTCCTTTAATTCCGACCAATCCTCAAGATTTCGGTGTATTATAGACGTTCTCGGTTCCCCACTAATGCGCGTCAAGACGAACTTATACAGTGTGTCTGCCTGGTCAGGGTTTATTACGGAAAAAGCTGTATCCACATTCGCTATGAAAGCCACAACTTCGTTCTTATTTCCCTTGAAATGAGGTATCAATTTTAGTGCCTCGCCTAAACTTATATACTCCTCGGCCATGGTGCCTCGACTACGGGTTTCTGCAATCGGGGTACTGGAGCTACTGGGCGTGACTGGCATGGAAATTGAGCAAAAACTCACCGTTACGCGATCAGCCCACTGCACTGGTTCCTGTCCGCTTCGATGTCTCGTTCCGATAGCCCGTTCCAATGACTCGTCCTGATGACTCGTTCCGATGTCTCGTTCTTACGACTCGTCCTGATGACTCGTTCTGATGTCTCGTTCTTACGACTCGTTCTGTTGACTCGTCCTGATGACTCGTTCTGTCACCTCCCTCTGGTTATAGCTCTCTAGATCAGCGCCACTCTTGCAGCTTCACGGTTGCAGTTCCGCGACCTCAGTTTCGGCGTCTCTCTTGCAGCTTCACGCTCCCTCCGTGCACTCACTCGAATCAACCCCAATAACCCCAATAACCCCACGTCTGACACCAGAAAGTTTATGTTGTATCCCGAAGTTCCTCGCTGGATGCCCGGCGCTGGCGTATCGTGGATGTTACCTGCGCACAAGTCACGTCTAGGTCTGGTGCTCCCTAGGCTGGGGCGCGCGTGGAAATCGCTGGGTATGCGGGTTGACAGAGGAGGATCGTTTGATCCGACAAGAGTGGTGTAATCAGCAAATTGAGTTTATTAACTAATTTCTGTAGATTACACATGTACGCTACACCTGAGGACTGATAGCTAGGGTTCCAGGGAGGGAAGGCTGTCTTGGCTCTACCTAGCCGCTATCTCGGTCAACGACTAGTCTCTCGCTCCGTCTGCATCAGACTGTCTACATTCTTTGTTTTAATAACACACCAGTCGTAAGGAATATTTCAGAGCAGGGCTCTCTTAGTTTGCTTGCTTATGTCTGGCCTCTTTTTTGTGTGGGCTTCTCTCCCTGTACCCTATGTTACGTGCTTTTTAGCAGCCACAGCTGCGTGAGACGGAGGTCACGCGTCTGACCCCCTTGGTTATCTCGACTGCATACTTTCGTCCTCCTGTGTCGCTACCATTTCTGTTACATTTCTATTAAAATTAAATGCTAATGAAATAACATATTAAGAGTAAATGCAAATGAAGTAACATAGCGTATACAATACCTTTACCAAATGAAACAGTTCTTATACAACAATAACGCATATACAACAGTGGCATCACATTTAAAACTGCAGTACCATTCCCTTTGGGTGTCCTGGATGGGGTCGTGACGGTCTCCTTTCATCGCCATCTTAACTTCTGGGGAACAACCAGAAATCTGCTGGAGCCAAATCTGGCGAATACGGAGGATGCTCAAGGACTGTGATCCCTTTTCTGGCCAAAAAATCACGTACGATCTTCGATTTGTGGGGTGGGGCATTGTTGTGGAGGAGCGGCCAGGAACCTTGCTCTCGATATTCAGGTCAGATTCAAAGAATTCTCACCCACAAATGATTGAGGACTCCGAGATAATAATCAGAATTCACTGTTTGACCTTCTGGCAGAAATTTCTTGTAAATGATTCCTTTGGAATCAAAGAGAACGGTTAGCAGTGTCTTTACTCGACTTTTTTGCTTGCTCACTTTCTTTGGTTTCGGCTTCTTTGGGCTCAACCACACTGCACTCTGGTGCTTTGTGAGAGGATCATATTGAAAACAACATGTCTCGTCACCAGTAACAATCGATTTTGTAAATTCTGTATCACTGGGCCGACCGTAACATGTCTTTGCAGTGTTCCACTCTGGCATGATTTTCATCGCCTTTCAGCGCGTGCGGTACAGACCATGCACACACATTCCATTTGCTAAAATCCTCTGTCAAAATTTGATGCACAGTACTTTTTTAGTATTCCCAGAAGCTCCTCGATGAGTCTTGCAGAAACACATCTGTCTGATGCAAGGATTTCAGTCACTTTTTTCACATTTTCTTCAGTGCGACTTGTTCTTGGCTTTGATGCACGTGGAGCGTCTTCAGTGTCCTCCCTGCTGTCATGAAATACAGCATACCATTGAAAAATGTTCAAATGACTCAATCACTACCACACACACTTTTCATCATTTCATACGCTTCTCCGGCTGTTTTGCCGAACTTCAAACAAAATTTGATGTAGGCTCTCTGTTCAGTCGCCATTTTCCGATGAGCGTCAGAACAGTACTGTTATATTCAAGGTCAGAACACATGATGCAGCGATGCTTGCACTTTGAAATTATAGACAGCCACAGCTGAAACCTCAAGAATCTTAACATCACAACTCGCCAGCAGATTGCATTGCAGGGCCAAAAAAAAAAAAGTCCTAATGGATCCTGGATGCACTGTGTATAACAACATTACTCCCTTATTACCAAGTATGTCTGTTGTATTGATGTTGGAATTGGTCTGGATATTTTCATTTTCCCCCATTTTCCTTGTATACCTTTGAGTGCAAATGTAATACATAATGGATCTCTTCTGTAGATGTTTGAAATGGGAACAATTTTGCATGACCTTTTTGCATATGAATAATTTGTTGATGTTTATCCATCACAGTAATGGGTGTCCTAAACTTAAAAATTTTAGTTTCATTATTAAAGTACTGAGTTCTTTGATGGAGCTGTGAGAGTAATTAATTGAATAAATTTATATTGATTTTGACATTTTCATAAGAACGTTTACTTTTCACAGCATCCCAAAACTAAATTGCAGATATGGACATATGTTTTGATTCTGCTGTGATTTTGAAGTAGGATGTGATGTGATCATTATAAAGGATAAGAAGCAGTAAATTGCATAAATAGAGCTTTTATGATGATGCTTTTGCAATTTCTTTCTTAGAATTTTTTTTCCCACTTACCTCTCAGGGCTGGCCGTACAGTGTATGCTTCAGGGGCATACTGCATTTAATTTATTTTACCCAGTAAAATTAAACTTGCAGAGATAAACATTATATGAATTAGTTGTTAGCAACCAGTACAATATGATTCAATTAAAATTATTTTCTGCCTGCATGAGAAGCCTGTTCGCGTATCAAGTCTTAAGATATTAAATGTAAGTTTCAAATTTGTATCAGGTACGATAACTGGCCTCTGTGTAATCCATAAGTTGCTACCCTTAAAAGAGACATTGGAATGCATTCAAGGCCTAGTTGTGTGTTCCTTAGTCTTCTCTTGTTTTAAAGATACAAAAATCTAGAGTAGGTGGATTGCTTCTTTATGTGCTTTGAAAGAAAGATTTCAGCACGCTATAGTAATAGATATAGCTAAGCATGTTTTCATATGACCATAATGAAGAATTTGTCAAATGTTTGAAAGCAGAGTTATTTATAAAGGAAGTAGCAAAGCAAATACAGTCTTCTTTTACTTTTAGCAATATATTGTAACGTGTTTTGCCACTGAAGACGCCATTCAGATTGTTAATTGGTTTATTTAACAACCTACAAGTCTTGGCTACAATTAATTACAACACTGTTACGGGTTTCCACAATTTACAAACCCTATGCAATATTCTGTTCACTCGGTCTTTAGTAGTCTACACATATTCACAGTACGATATGGGAGCTATACAAGTGTCACACTATCACATCTAATCACACGTTTCGGTATTCTTCTTTCCGCTACAACTGAACTCGGCGACTGTTCCATCTGCACTGTGTCACTCCTGCTCACACAGTACTAACTGCTAACTCCCTGGCTAACTCGTAACTAACTGTTGAATAGTGTTCGCTGCACCTTATTTAGCCCCGTTACAGACAACACAGAAAACAGTTACGTAATAGGCACCACTGTTGCGTAATGTCGTGTTTACCGACTGCCTGGGAACAGTCATTGCACAGACTCCCCGACATGTTTACAAAGGCATTGCTGGGCAGCGCTGCCGGGAGTTGTTTACGGCTACGTAGCAACTGCGGTGTCCTATGTTACATCACTGCGGGGAAAGGGGTGTCTACCAAGGGTTGCACACTGATGGATGGAGTGGGGGTATGTGATGTCACTCGCGAGATCACAGAGTTCACTCGACCCCCACCTCCCGCTATGCCATGCATGTTACAGTATTTAATTAAAATCAGAGTTTTGGAAATGTTATCAGCTTCCATGGAGCTGAAATAGCTCAGTCATTATAGTGACTTGGTTACAGACTGGACAATCAGGATTCAGGGTTTGATTCCTGGCAAGGGAAGAGATTTTTCTCTTCTTCACAGATCCCAGAACTGGCTTTGGGGCCCATACAAGTCTCCTGTCCTGTGTGTACTGGGACTTTTTCCCCCAGGAGAAGCAGTCAAGGTGTGAGGTTAAGAATACAAGGAGCTATTCCATCACCCCACCATATGTAAACAATTAAAATTCAGCACATTTGAAGGACTCTTTTCGTACTTAGGATTTTCATAAGTCTGATTAGTATGTGCTTTGCTGGATGTAATCATCCATGTCTGTTTATGAACTCTACAGTCAGAAGTTGGTCAGTTCATAATATATTTCTTGTTCTCAGTGATGTTAAAATGAGTTTGGTATTTCTTTTGGAAACACTCATATACTAGTCCAGAACTGTGACTGTGATGCAACTTACCATTTTCTCAGATTCTTACTCATGAGGCAGGGGCATATAATGAAGTCGTCATTTAAGGTTTCTCCATGAATCATTGGATTTCATCATTAATCTAAGGAAATGTATACATGATGGACATTTAGCACTGATCCAGTGGGACAAGGACCATAGGAATTTAAATGAAGGGAAAACTTAAATCAGTAGAAGAGTTTTTCACGATATGTATTAACCTATCCATCTCCACTGTGCCATACATAATCATGTTGGTATTTCTTATAATGAAATAACAAATTTTTTTTTGCATAAGCTAATTATATAAATAGGAATGTATACAGTACCATTTAATATTTTTAGTCTAAAATAATTTAAGACTGAAGAGCTTGGTCAGATGTTAAACATGTCAGTGATTTCCAAACTTTAAGTGTTCCAGATGTGTTAGAGAGTTAAAAGAATTAGTGAATAATGCAGGTTTTTAATGTCTCAGTATTAATTTTAATACATGTTTAAAAACAAACACATCAGCAGTCTAGCATAGCCCTATTTCTTTGTTTCAGATAAATGTTACTTTTTTGTTGTTTTTGCCCCGTTGTCTATTTGAAACGTATATTTACGCCAGCTTAATTTGTTTTCTTGATGGGCAGTTATTTACAAAAAAAAGTTTTGTTTTGTGGGGATGGGCCAATTGAAATTGGTGTCTGAACCAAGAGAAAAGGATGTGTGGGAGAAATTTTTGGATGAGAGATTTTAATTTCGTTTGTTGTTGTGAAATTTTAATGAGGGGGTTCTTGTTGTAATGAAGTTTATGAATAGTTGCATGAGTTTTATTCAAATGAGAATGTGTGTACCATCACATAAGAGGACATGACACTGCTACGAAAGCATGATTTGACTGTAGTCAGAAGTGTTGCATGTTCATGGGCCACACTGCTTCTCAATTCTGAAACTAAGTACATAGTACTAGTACATGGTGTTTGACCATTTGATATTTCCATGATTTATTTAAACCATCTTGCAGTGCATACACTCATCTATCTCCTTCTCTCACTCGCACTACATGTTTCGGCATAATAATGCCATCTTCAGGTGCTTACTCATCCACGCCAAACTAGTTCATTGCATGCCTTGTCCTCACATTAAAATAACTAAAATATATATCTATCATATATATTGACAAATGTCGAACGTTAAAAATATTAAAATTGTTCAGGATTCCACATCGCTACGTCGCACCTCACTACGCCAGTCACGCCCATTCTCCTCTGTTGGAGCACTCCTTCACTATCGTGTGTGTCTGTAACGTGAATTTTTTATTCATTAATACCGCGTTATTAACGTTCGACATTTGTCAATATATATGATAGATATATATTTTAGTTATTTTAATGTGAGGACAAGGCATGCAATGAACTAGTTTGGCGTGGATGAGTAAGCACCTGAAGATGGCATTATTATGCCGAAACATGTAGTGCGAGTGAGAGAAGGAGATAGATGAGTGTATGCACTGCAAGACGGTTTAAATAAATCATGGACTTAAATCAGTGCAACAGGACGCTAAAATATAACATTTGATATTTATTCAACTTGTTACATCTCCTGACTTCTGCAGTTCATCACTATGTTCACAACCCAAACCTGATCCAATTCACATCTCCACAGCCTGTTCCTCTAATATGAGTTTTAATATTATCCATCCATCTCTTCCAAGGTCTTCCAAATGGTATTAGAATTTTTAAAACTCTTGCCGAATATGTGACCATAATGGAAAGACAAGGAACAGTGCTCCTTTTTTGTCAGAAATGAGACACATTTTGCATGATTTTTGTTTCTGTAAGTATGAGAAAGAACTATGTAAAAAACAAAATCATACCTGGAGCATCTGTTGCTTGGTGTAGAAGACCAGTCCTGTCTGTAACTCACCTTGTGTATCCTCCATCTGAGATCCATTGACCCATGCTCCATATTGTCCTCTTACTAATTTTTGAGAATTCATAACACCATGAAACAGTCCTGCAGTTGTGAGCAGCAGAATATGTTCGTTTCCCAAATTTTCACATTACTTAAAAGTGTTCCAGTCTTTGGTTGAATTGATTGTGGATAGTTATTTCAGTGTTAATTCATGAAATTAATTTAGTGCAGATGAATACAGTACATTTTTAAAGAGTGCTGATGAGTTCAGGATCAAACCATTCATATTCTCACACCTCTCTAAAACATCTCTTGAGGGTACATCATGCTTTGTGTAGGCAGTCTTATGGAAGAAGACTCCTGTGTGCTCATTGAGATCTCTAGTGTGGCAAGTTTGATTCATGTTGTATGTCAAAATCTGATCTGGTAACTCTGTAATGATGCTGTAATGATTCACCTCTGTCTGATGTTGACACATGCTCAAAAATGCTTTTGACGAAGTAAAATGAAGAGGTTGAACATATTTTTATTTGCCTGATTTCCCCCTTTCTTGCTTCCTGTTCAGCCTCTTTGGTTCTTTATGCCATAGAAGAAATCATAAGGCATAACATCATCCTTTTACAGAGTCATCGGCTACTGATGATTGTAATTAAACAAATCAGGTGCAGCTATTTAAGATCAGGTATTTGGTACTGCACCTCTGCTGGTTACTATGAGAGACATGAAGCAGGAATCTGTCTTCCTGCAGTGACTGTGCTAATAGCAGCATTATTAATGAACTCGTTAGTTTTGCGTGTTGTTTGCTTCTGAGCTCTTCTTCTGGTCTTCACTTTTATGAACACTGTCATGATGCAGGACTGTTCCTTGTGCAGTAGCATATAGACATCTCAGCATACCTGAACCTGACTTTTTAATGAAGGAACTGATGCTGCATTTGTATTTCTTTCTCCCCTGTGCAAAAAGGAGGCGAGGGTTTGTATACCAAGAAAAGAACATATCAGTATTAATCAGTGGCACCATTATTTAAAAAACAAACAAAAATTAATTTATTTATGTATTTATTTATTTATTTACTTACTTGACATTGATAATTGAATATTCTTGCAGCTTGTCAATGCTCTACTAATTGGCTTCAGCATCAAAGCATGAGGATATATAGCTTTCAGTAGGGCTGCCTGCATAGTTCTGTCAATGTGGTAGGTGCCCTCATGTATCTCATTGGTGTAACTCCTTCTGTCATCATGTAGGCAGAGTTGTGGTATTCACTTGTAATTGGTGCCCACTTGGAGCTTGAGCCGAGTGTCAACTTTTTGTTTGTTTTTTAAATTGTCCTGGACAATGTACAGAAGATTTATTTCATGTACTATTACTTAATGGTAAACAATGCTGTAATCAATTTTAATCAGATGTGGACAGTTGCAATTTTTGTTTATATTTCAGTAAAGACGAAACTGAAAGAAATGTTAATATGTTTAAATCGAACGAGTCATTCAATGTACAAAGGAAATTATTCCATCATTGTTTCATTTGAATAATAATATATTAATATTATATATAAGTATTATAATAAAGTTTGTGTCCCTTACAGAAGCAGAGTTCTGCTTCCTTTTACAGTATAGGTGCAACTAAAACAGTAGTTTGTACATAGACCCATGATGTACTTTTCAGGTTGATATATTGTTGCAGTGCAAACAGTTTGTACATGTATAATACCTGAAGGATACATGCATACCTAGCCTATACTTACTGTATGTAAATTGTTGTACATTCTGGTGTTTCAGATTCTTTCTGTATTAAAATATTATGTGTGTGAGAGAGACAGAAGATAAAGTATTACATTACTGCGTAATGTGTTGTTATTGTGTTGGAGGGGGTGCAGGAGGCCGGGGTCGAGGGGGTGTCGGGCGTGGAGGGGGCATGATGCGGGGTGGCGGTGGTGGCTACTCGGGAGTTCGAGGCTACAGCGGCGTCATGCGGCCTGATAAAACTCATAACCGGTACAATCCCATTGGCATGGGCGGAGGCTACAATATGTACAACTGGAACTAAAGTTAGTAGATAAACTCAACTCATAAACATCCTAGGAAAGGTGTTAGATGGGATGGGGTTTCCACATTGCTACATCAGTGTTGATAGCAAAGTACACTTTTCCTGGACTGATATTTCCAAATCTCCAGTTTCCCTTCCATTTTGGGACTTTTACTCATAATTATTTTTTAATATTGATCATAATGACAAATATTATTATACATTTTATTTTATATTGCATTCGCAAATTTATTCATAGGTCATTGAGGCCTTACTGTGTTAACTTTGCCAATTTTTGTTTATATTTTTTTTCATACCACAGTTGGGGACGAGTGAAGATGCATATGAGTTTGAAGATCCGTCGTTTGGGAACTTTGGAGCTGCGAGTGGTGAATTTTTTTTTTATTTTTTACTTTTTCCTGCTCCGTTGTCATCATTTAATTTTAAGAATATGGTAGCATTTCTCACTGAACTGTACCTTTGCGATGCGAAGTTCTTTGCATTCAAGTAGAGCTTCCACTTTTTTTTTGTGTGTGTGTGTGTGTGTTACTACTTATGGGAAATTTATTTTCATTGAGATAATATGTTATGTATATTTGATGTTAAATAAAAGCGTCAGTGAGGAAGGCATTACAACTATATTCAGCAGACTTTTTTGTATATTTATTTTGTGAAACCTGGGAATTGCTAAAATTATATAATTAGGTAGTGGCTCTTGATTTATTGTTTGTACCTTCATATGAATCATTTGAGACTGAACTTCAGTTTCCAGATTTTAAATCTCAGGTCCCAGTAATTGGTTATGCGGTTGTTTCATGTCATGTTCTGAGATCAAAGCTTCGGTTTTGGAGCTCACGATTAAGTACCCTCTAAATATAGTGGTTGCATGTGAGAAACATAATAAGGCAGACACTGAAAGAGTTTTATCTTCAGACTAAAGCTGAACAGTGATATAAAGAACCTGTGTAGAGACCAAAGATTCTCCATGAAAAATACAAGTGCAGAGACTAAGGTTCATTTTGTACTGTGAACTGAATTTTCTAAGTATTTTTGTAGGCTGACCACTCTTATCAGCATTTTCACAGAAACAGAGTTACAGTGCACACATGTTCACCCACCATGTGTCAGTTCTCCCAGCTGCCACTGGCAGCGCAGCCTGTTCTTCCTCATGCAGGTGTCATTACAGTCATAGTGACACATGTTTATGGTAGAGACTAGTTGAATATGTCAGCTCATTAGAGTATATCCAAAACCTTTCATCCTTCAGCCTGCTTTCTCTCCTAAGAAGACTCCTGCGCAAGAACTAAATAAAAAATGTGAATAAGTTTGTGTATATTAATACAAATGTTGTTTTTCTGCACATTACCCATGTCCTATTTTTATCTAAAGCATACATTTCGGATACTGGGTTCTGTCTCCATCTTCAGGTGGAAACTACTCAGTTGGGCCCCATTGATAGAGCTAGTCCCTATCTCATTATCTCAGGTTCCACCAGAAGACAGAGACAGAATCCAGTCTCCAAAATGTATGTTTTAAATGAAAGCGCAACAGTGGGTAATGGCCATAAACACAATAATTTGTAAAAGGAAACATGGTTTCACTTTGAAATAGGAAATGCATATATGTAAAAGAGTAAAAATCATGTGTATATTGGGTTTCTGTAAGTTTTTCTCAAGTAGACAAAGCATCCCATTACTGTATTTAGTACTACTGGGTTTATATCCAGACAGAATTTAATGTTTTGAAAACTGGATCTATTTCTGCCGAGTGTGAAAAGGTTGAAGGAATCTACTCAGTATTCCACTGAAGAAGGTGCCGCTCTGATTCTTTCACCTGAGGACAAAAAAAAATCCATTTTCTTGTCAAATGCTGTGTTCTGTTTGGAATGTTATATGATGATCAAAGTCCAGAAATCCAGTAATACTAAATGTAAAACACAGTTGCCGGAAGCCATTAGAACCGAGTGGTGATGCTGCTGAAATTGGAAGATTGAACGTGGTTTTCCAGTTTACTGCATGTTCTTAGCACCACTCATTGATAACATCATGCTGCACCCATTGGACAAGAGGCTGAGTGAACACCATTTCATTTATGGTCATAGCTGTATTGTGAATCCATTGCCAAAATATGTATGTCAAATGTGTAAACCATGTAAGTGATAGCAGGAGAGTTTTGCAGTGGTGTTAGATACCTTTAAGGAGAAAGTATGTTGAAAGATTGATTTTTGCCTTTGAGTTTATCTCTGCAAGTTTGTAACCAACAGTCATTTGTAACACCACAGGGAAGTTACCCAGAGCTACTCGTACATTTTCCTACGTTAAAACATCGGTTATATATTATTAGGGGTGATGACAAAGTGTGCTAGTCCTGGCTGCAGTTATCAGCCACCCCTGTACACTGCCTTTAAATTTGTTGCCCTCTTACAGATGTGATGTATATGTTGGTGCATATCATGATATATATCTTTCATCTACAAAAAGCAATTGCAGGTTTGTCAACTTCAGCTGCCACAATTTGCTGGCACTCAGTCCTCTTATGTTTCAGAATGTTTGTAATACCGGATTCAAAGAACATGGGTTGAAAGATTATGCTCCTCTCCCCACTCACTAAATTGAAGGAATTCAACTGAAGCTCCGTAGTAACACTGATATTTGATGTATATATTTGCACTACAAATAAAATTTGGCTGGAAAGATTAAAAAATGTTCTAAAAGAACTAGCAGGTTTACATTATGTGCTAGTCACAATGAAATTATGCAAAATATATAGGTTGTGAGAGGTATTCGTGAGAAGTTAGAAGAACGGTACGGATAGTAGGAAGCATCTGAAGGCAGAAAGACCAGACACAGACAAAACATGAATTATCCAGTTGAAATGCAGATTTTTCAATTGCGCATTCACATGCATACATTGAGGATGAAATTATAGAAAAGTAAGAAGTTACCCAATACTGTTTTAATCTGGTATTTTTTATTGAATTTTATACAAACACATGTACAGCAGTGTATTACACAAGAAGTCGACAGTTTTATTTTTCAGTACTGATGAAAACTACTTCATGTATGAAGTGACTGGAACTGTTAACACTAATGCTGGATATGAAAATTAAAGGTCGTACATTAATTTGGCATGAAAGAAATGGAGAAATGCCCATTTCTTTGAAATGAAGGAAATACCAAGTAATGGGTTGTCAAAAATATTAAATTGCAGTTTCTCATGCCATGTATTTTCTGAGTAGAGTTTGTTGATTTTATTTTGTTCCACTTTGCAGTCTGATTCAGAGAGAATTAGCTTGCAAAATAGGTGGAACAAAATTATACCTCCATTTCCCCATACATCTCCATGGTGTAATACTTAATTAAGCAAAGAGACTAGTTTTATCTTTTTATTCTCCAGTCTTAGTTTCCTTGTTTGTTATACTAAAATTGACATAAAATTGGGAGTGGAAGAGTTTCTTAACAAAGTAAGCCTTCATAATTGGTTATTAAACTCTTTTGTGTTCAGTTTATAGTCTTACAACTTACTGTCTTACCCGACAGTATGATGACAGCCGAAATATGAAACTTCAGTCATGAATATATTGTAGCAAGAAAACATTTCCTGGGTAACGACCTCAAAACAACATTTGCTCCTAGGCAACAGATTCTTAATCAAGTATATGCAGCCATTTCTAGGTAATGCCTAGAGGCAGCTAGAGGTATTGCTGAGGCAGCCCAGTGAGTCGGGCATGCCAGCGGAGTGGTGAGGCGGCCATTCCTGGCGCAGTGCGGAGCCGAAGACTCCCAAAGACCGAGCGCTGGCGACGAAGTGTGCTGGTGGATGTTGCTTGAGTGAAGATTGGTCATACATTGAAGATGCCGGGTCGGAGCTACTCCTTTTATACAATGCTCGATGGCAGAGCGAAAATTTGCTGAGCGCGCGTAATGATGTAGATGCGGGCTAGCCACAAGTGCTGTATAAATGCGAACGTTTGAAGCAGTGTGATTGGTTAGCGCGCATGATGGTGAAAAGTGAGCTGAATAGCGAGCGTTGCAGAAATGCGTGATAATATGTGGGATGTTCCCACATCACTCCCCCCCTTGCGAGAAGTGATGCTGCTGCTTGCGAGTTGTCTGCGGTGTCCATGCTTAATCGGGGTCACCAATGTGCTTTCTTTTCCTTCTCTACCCTGCTGGCGGTAGGAGCAGGGTGGAGTACAGTTTTGTGCCCGAGCGCTGAAGCGGCGATGGTACCAGCAGATACTGGATGTGGTGTCGCCCCGGGAGGGGGATCTGCTGCCGGGCCGGCTGTTGCTGAAGTAGGGGCGGGAACCCTTGGGACTGGAGCCTCTGTCTCTCGGTTTGTTGTCGGGCTCCCTGAAGCGGGGGTGGAGGCGGTCCTGTTCAGTGCTGAGCGCAGCCACTTGGTGGGAGAGTTCAGCGATCTCCTGCCGAAGTGCGCCGATGTCCGTGGGTTCATCAACGCTAGCGAGCGCTCGCTGGACTTCGACCTCGGAGATGCGGTCTGCACAGAGGGCTGCAGCCTCCAAGTTGCTCTTGTTCTGGCCGGCAAGGAAGCTCTGCACGTTGCGAGGTAGCCGGCTGGTCCAGACGCTTCGGATGATGTTATCAGACACATCTGGTGCGAGACTTTGAGGTACCTCAGGAACTGGGATGGCTTACGGTCGCCAATTTCCTCGACCGTGAGGAGTTGCCTGATACGCTGCTCTGGCGATGAGGATAGCCGCCTCACAAGCTTGGTCCTCAGTAGGGTGTAGGGACCTCATTTGGGTGGAGAGAGGATGATATCCTCCACCTCTGTGGCGTATCGTTGGTCCAGCTGTGAGATGACGTGGCAGAACTTGATCCGCTCACTGTTAATGCCGGCCAAGGTGAATTGCGCCTCGGCCTGGGCGAACCAAACGGCTGGTCTCTCAGGCCAGAACGGCGGGAGCTGCATGGCCATTCTGGGCACTTCTGCTGATGAGCTGTCTGCCTCGTCCATGCTTAGTTGGGGTCACCAATGTGGGAAGTCATATGAAGAGATAACCACACGTGCTTCCAATCACGTCGGGGTCACCAACGTGGGATGTCGTATGAAGAGACAACCACTAGTTGAACTGTCCTACAGGATTTATTGTAGCTGCACAGTATACACAGACGGATAATAACAATAGTGAACTCACTGGACTAGAATTGTAGAACTGTAGAATCTAGAACCATAACTGTCAAAGTCAAAGTCACATTGCGACTGACGGTCAGTCAGTCAGTAAGTCTTGGTGTCGAGCCCCATCTGGGGCTCATGACCAGATATTAATTTTACCGTTTGACAGTTACGGTTTTGTTGTTGTGGGGCGCCCTCTCTGACGAGAGGACGGGTCTGTCTTGTGCATATGCTGCTGGCCATTGCCAGAGCGATCTTTCTCGGGTCCGAATCCCTTGGTACTCGCGACCGTATTTTACTGTCTCAGATTTGAGACTTCCCTTTTCGTCGCCTCCTACGACTCGCAGGGTCACGGTGGGGGTATTCGACCCCGCCTCCACACGGGAACTATCACTCTCTAACTCAGTGTATCTTCTTATGTAGCCTAGAGTCGGACATATAGAAAATATGTCACTGTCAGTATTGTTGTAGGCTTTGCCTAGCAACCGCTGTTTACTCATCGTTGCTAAGCAATGAAGCTTGAAGCTTGAATGTGGGCAGCTCCCACAGGTGTTTTATTCCAAAAACTGGCCGACTGACCATCGGTCGTAATATCAGACTCAGACTCAAGGCAGGCGTTCCTGGGGGATACAAATAAGGGAACCTGGCCCTCCAGGGTGGTGGACTCTCAGATCTGAGAGAGTAGAATGTGGTTGAGTCGTGCGGGACTCAGACCTGAGAATGACTGCTGACGTAAAATAACAGACCCAACCTCTCATCAGAGAGGATGTTATATAAGGACTATAACCTCAAGTGCTCAGTTTGAAAAAGATATTCTCCTCATGGGTCTTGAGGGACTTGTTACCAAAACGAACTGATTGGTGGTAAACCGCCAGTCGTAAACTGACTGACTCTGACCCTGACTGAAGGCAGGCCGTTGTACAGGAGTCTGTGAAGAGAAAACTTGGTTGGTGCAGTTGAAGAATCCCCATTGTTAAGATCTGTTACCAGGAAACAACTAGTGTCAGCAAACTGGAAAGACTTAATGTGTGCTTCAGTGATTTGTAAAGTGTAAAGATTAGTGATGGCTCTATAATTAAGTGTAGTCACAATTCATATGCCGAAGTGGTCAGTAAATCCAGTCTCCAATCCCAAACCATGTTGAGAGTCACTCAGCACGTGACAGTATTAATATCTGTAGATGTGATGATTAGGGGAAAAGATAAGAAGCTATATCAGTGGACCTTTTCAGCAAAAGAATACAGACTGAAAGTGGACAAGAGAGAGAGGGGGTGAGTGAAGATTTCAGGGGACCTAAACACAAAAATCAGGGGAAAAGTATGTGATCATCTCACACTAAGCATCATAAGGTCATCCTCTGTTCCATCCATCTGAATTTTGGGCTTCCAACTCTTCTACACCCATCAGGTGTTTGGAGGGTGGATATCTTTTAATAGGGTTATCATCCCGCATTTGGATAACATGGCGTGCCCATAATAATTTCCCAATTTTTATGGTTTTAACAGTGTCAGGTTCAGAAAATAGTTCATATAATTCCTTGTATCTTATATGCCAGAATCCGTTCTCACGCAATGGGCTGGATATTCTTCAAAGTACCTCAGGCTTTCCTCAGTACTCCTAGTTAATGTGCAACTTTTGCCCCTGTATATCAGTAAGGTCTCAGCAGCATTTTATACAATCTCAATTTAGTGCTCATAGGGAGAAAATGAGACTTAAATTTTCCTTTAAGTCCATGATAGCATTTATTAGCCAAAATTATTTCGTTACTGAGCTCTTTAGCCATACTATTACCATTTGTCACTGTTGTTCCAAAATGTTTAAATTTTGTACTATTTCAAAGTTACAGCTTCCAATCTCTATCTTATATGGTTTTATAGATCTTTGGTTACATGCATACACTTTGTTTTTGGGCCCCATTTTATTTGCAACATCTGAGAGTGCAAAGAATGCTTCCTTAACACAGATTGCTGTCTGGCCCACTATATCAATATGATCAGCATAAGCCAATATCTGTATTGGCTTTCTATAAGTAGTGCCATTTGTTTCAAGTTGTGCATCCCTCATTACCTTCTCTAAAGCAAAGTTAAATAGTAAGCATGCCGCCAAACTGTTTCCCTGTCGCAAACCAGTTTGTGCTTCTAGGGATTCTGATATATCATTTTTAACTTTTACTTTGCATTTTACAGTTTTCACTGTAGCTTTTGTCAACCGTAACAAGTTCTATTTGGATTCCAAGTTCTTCCATTGCCTTAAGGAGTGTATTTCTTTTAATAATTGAATAAATAGTAACTTTTATACACATAAAAAGTAAGTAAAGGTATCCCTGTAACAGGCCGTGGTGACCCATAGGGTTGTGAGATGTTGAAGTTCCCACATCTTATAGACAATCAGCTCATAGATGGCGGCAAGGTTGTCAGCCCTATGTGCTGGCCACCCTTTACCCCCAAGAATATTCCTGGTACTTATTTCTGTTAGAGGCTGAGTCGACCCCAGGGCCATAGTGCGGCTGGAAGGATTAGGTCAATTGAAAAAAATCCAATGACCTCATCGGGACTTGAACCCGCAACCTTGTAGCATAATGCCTCAACCAACTACGCTACTGCCTGCCCCGTCTTTTATACACATGGTTTTGTAAAATTAAGGCAAATGTGACCTAATTTATTATTTCTGAAAGGGCAAAATTCTGTAACTGAATTGTCCATAATGCAGGTGGGCACTGTATTGTAATTCCCATAGCTGGTTTGATGTATTGAAATGAATTCACTGTGGGCACTTGAATAGGCATTACAGTATACTTCTTACCTTTACCTTCATCAGTTAAAAGCCTCTAGCTTTGATGTGTGTTATAGCTACATACTATTATACAAACAAAAGCATGTCTTCATTATGTTGATATGTATGTTCATTTCCCAGTTTGAAGAGGTTTCCATCAGTTCAGGATGAATATTTCACAATGCAGTGTACTTAGTTCCACTAAACATCAGTTCTGCCACATTGCAGATCTGTGTAAGGTATTGTTTAATGTAGTCATTAGTGATATGTACTAGCTTTACAGTTTACATCAGTGACTACAGTGCACTGACTTCTACTTCCTGCATTGCTAAATCATACTCAGAAATTAGCAATTCTATCAGGTCACAGAAGTCTGAAGCGGATAGCAAAAGAGAGTAAATAAGGAAGCAAAAGCGAAAGAAGAGAGACGGTTTGTTGGAAGTGTGTTGTGCAGCACTTAAAATTAATGTGATTCCATAAAAATAAAAGTTGCTCTCCCAAATGGGTAGCAAATATTCTCCAACATGGGAATTCAAACTTTTTGAAAATATTTGTTTATTCATTGCTAAATACTACAGTAAATAAGACAGTGAAGAATACTATCTTCAGGGATATGATACCGTATAGTGTGGTATAAATTAATTTGAGCTAGAATTGCTGGGATTTTGGACTTTGTCCATTGACCAGTATTTTTTCTAAGGTACCCAGCTGAGTAACGGGGGCACGTGATAGCATAGTTGGTTGAGGCACTATGCTACAAGCCAGAAGGTCGAGGGTTCAAGTCCCAATGAGGTCATTTCAATTGACCTAACCAATCCGGCCGCACTATGGCCCTGGGGTCGACTCAGCCTCTAACAGAAATGATTTTTTTTTCCTTGGCACTACAGCCCCAGTGGCCTAGGCCTACCTCCATGAACTCCGTTCACTTCGGTTTTTCTAGATCGTACACATACGGTAGGACTCCTTGGGCGAGTGATCAGCTCGTCGCAAAACAAAAATGATTACCAGGTATTAATTAAATAATTTTCCTTGGGAGTGAAGAGCGGCCGGCGCGTAAGGCTGACAACCTTAACGCCATCTGTGAGCCGATTGTCTAGATAATTTGGGACCCTCAACGTCTCACAACCCTATGGGCCTTCACGGCCTGTTACAGGGATAGCTTTACTTTTCTTTTTACCCAGCTGAATGTCTTCCCCCCTCACCTGAAGACGGAAACAGATCCAGTTTACGAAACGTTGTGTTTTCTAGTTTCTAGAAAACCAGACGGACAGAATAAAAAACTAATTCTGAGTTGTACACCATCATCAGCACCCTTTAGAATTTAATTTCAGCGAGTTTAGCCCACAGTTACAATCTCATTATCTGTGCATTACTTATAAAAATATTTTCACTACATAACCCTAATTAAATTGTTGGGTTTTGTACAAAAAGATGCTGTGTTGTGTCACTATAATTCATTACAGATTTCTTTATATATAATTGCAATTCATTAGTGCTATCTGGTAATAAACTACTGCTACAGTGTACGTGTACTTCGTGATCGATTCATTATTCCTGGATTCTAGTTCTTTTTTTTTTTTTTTTAAATAAACTTGACCGGGTCACATGTCGCCTTATCCTAGGTCCATCATCGTTGCTTCTCATTGTCTGTCCTCAAACAATGGGTTGGACTTTTGAAAAAATAGTGGAAGTAGATTGCTCTGAACTTAATGACCTCACAGATGTAAACGAACTGAATTCGAATCCATTGTAGTTGTCTGAAAAGAGAAGAGAACTGTTTATTTAATGTGGTTAAAATTGTATGTAGATATATCATTGTGCTATTAATTTACATTAGCTTCCTGTTAGGACCTCTCAGATCACATGGTCTATTGGGAACTGTCTGTTTAATATAATTATAGAAGTATTGTTGAGATCCTTCAGTGTAGTGTGTAGAAAGCATTGAGAAGGGCACGAGACAAAGTAAGCTCATAATGCTTCTGTCTTGATCAGATATCAATGGATCGTGAAACAAACGAGACGCAATATATAGTCGGTTGTGTTTTGTGATTATTTGTAAACTCTTCTGTTTTGTAACAGGCTGGTACTAAATTTTTCCCACATTTTTATTTTTAGCGAAAATTTCCTACTTGTTGAAGCAGAAATTAAGGCATACTAATTAAATTATTTTATTTCACAAAGAGGGTAGGTGAGTAGCAAATTATTACTGCATTGTCTTCAGTTTAAAACCAAGGGCGCACGTATCAGGTTGTGTTGGACAGTTTTGTATATCACGGTATGTGGTGGCTATCTACACAACAATTAATGAAATACTGCAGAGCAGAGAACGTTGTCAGTCGGTCGGTCGGTCGGGCGGTTCTAGCCAACAATCATTCTTGGTTCCGGGTCCAGGGAACTTACCCCCCCCCCTTTTTTTTGCGGCTCGCCTCCTGCAGTGTCTGGATTAATCTGTCGTGATACAATGCCGCTGCATGTTCAGTGTTGTGGTATACTATATCCACAAATTAATGCTGAAGCTGCTGTCTCTTTTGTTTTGTTTTTAAGTAATTTTTGTGTAGACGGCCACTATATACGTATATACAAAGGTTGAACAAAATAATGGAAAAATTACAGACACTGCACATTTCTTTATTAATATATACACACACAAACTACGTGGCATGAGTCCCAAAGCGAACTTAATGCCAAGTTTTGCGGATAGAGGATGTCGCGTGGTTAGCCCAACGGATCCCCATAGCCGTTAATTTCGGTTCTCTAGACCGGAGCCGCCATTTTTCCATTCAAGTAGCTCCTGAATTATCCTCACGAGGCTGAGTGGACCCCGTTCCAGACCAACTATTTTCCAGAAAATCTGGTAGCGCCGGGAATCGAACCTGGACCTCTGGATCCGTAGCCAGGAACTCTTGACCACTATACCACAGAGGCGATATATATAATTCATTATGAAAAGGAATGGGAGAGAATGGTAAGAAAGCACAAAAGCGAAGTGGAAATAAACTTAGGTGACTAATCATTTCTAGGTGTAAGTGTACGTGTATAATAGATGAGCTCCAGGTTTTAAAAATATTGATTTATTTGAGATGCCAGAGCGTAAGGCCAAGGAGGCAAAGTCAAGCACCCCGAAGTGTAAATTGTAAAGGACCCGAATAAGAATTTAATTAATTCACCGCAGGTTGACAATTAAGTTGCTCCAAAAAGCACTAGAAACCCGTCAGGATATACTCGTATGATAACTTGCTAAACTAAGAGACAGGAAGTGACGCAGTTCCTCATCTGCATAATCAGAAGGTTAACGCCCGGTAGGAATGAAATGTTTACGTTTGTCTGATAGAATGACCTGGGTTTTTAGACATAAGTCTATAGTGTTCAATTAAAAAAATCCTCAGAGAAAGTCCCTAATGGGTCTTCTTCCATACTGTATCAAGGAGCTCTTCCGTTGTTGTATTGTCTCTCAGTAGTGAACATTTAATTATATAAGTTCAAACTGAAAATCTTTTCTGCCTAGTAAGACTCAAAGAGACAGGTTATCCTTTTCATTTCCTGTTAAAGGAGAGTTTCCAGGAAGTAATTTTTTGGTAACATATCAAAGGTCCAAACAGAAATTCTATGAATGGAATAAAAAAAATTTGACCATAGTATATTAATACAATTGTTGAATTTCTGGACATTGTCCGGGCATAGGGACTAGCTCTATGGGCCCAACTGAGTAGGATTTTACCTGAAGGTTGAGACGGAATCCAGTTTCCGAAACGTTTTTAAATAAAAAAAAAATAGGACGATGGATGTCAAAAAGTCTCTATAAACTAAACGGATAATTACCTGTAAATATTAACTCAAAACCTGTAATTAAATTCTGAAAGCTATTTTATAAATACATACAGCATTTGTATTCTGGAAGACATTTTTCAGAACTTCATTCTGCGACATGATCATTTCAGGCCAGTCTTGCCAACGTGCTGATTTTACCCCCTCCCCAAATAAACGGTTTTAGTACTTCATTTAATTTTTGTTTCATTAATCGGTGTTTTAAAGACGTGTACTTATTATTAATAACTTGAAATTTGATTGTGTTGCTGGTTCTGCATATCCGTTACAATGTCAGGAACCAGCTGGGGCTCACAACGGATCTAACTGGCGTCCCCACATCCTACTGGTCTTGCAAGTCACGTAATCTGCCACAAGGCAAGTCTTATTCTCAGATTTCTGAAAACCTAGTGCCCCCGGCCTACACTGTTAGTGCCGAACTCCTGTAAGCTCCACGATATCTCTATTATTTACTGGGGCTTTCCTTCCAGGTATTGCTTTTCGTATAATATTTCCCAAGACATCTGGGCACCAGCTGCCCGAAACATTCGAAAAGAAATGCCATTTTACCTTCACATCTCTGTACTCAGGTTACAGCTACTCATCAATTAACACTTCAAAACAATGTAAAAGCAGTAAAAATAGGGACTCCCACGGTGCGAAATATATGCAGAATCAGGCTAATTGGATATTGTGTGGCATTTGCTATTATCATTATTATTATTACAGCTAGCCTGCAGCTGTCACGGTGACGTAACTGTTGCAATAGAAACAGTTCAGTTTAAATGTTCCGCTGAAGTGACAATTTTTATCGCATACCAAAATTAAGAACCGCACGGTCGATATCATTTGATTAATTTATAGAAATATCCTGAATCCCACTATGTAGGGCCTCGTGATATCATCTGTTTCACTTCATGAACCTGAATCATGATAACATTCGAACGCACTCAGACTCCTTACGTTTTGATTTTCCTTGGCGTCAATTCATTACAGAATTAGTCGTGTGTAGAGTGACTTAAAGTGTTTCAGCAGTCAGAGCTTAATTAAATCTGAGTAAGCCTACATCCATCTCCATTTTCTAAATTTTTTTTTCTGTGGACACTGCGTTATAAATACAGAACATCTTTCCAAAGTAAATTGATAATTGTTAGTGTAAATTGCCATTATTAACTATTCACGAGAAAGCCGGCTCAAACTGAATTGCAGCTAAAAAGCAACACGTAAGACAATGCTCCCCAAACTTGTCAAAGCTGACAGAGCAGTGGCATGTTTTCCTTCACAGGAAGTGTGTAAAATAGACGAATATCTGCCAGATCATATATACGGTCGCCCTTTCGTGTTTGCTGACATGCCATCGTCCAAAGCACTCAGCAGATTGCGAAGAAGTTTGGAATTCGGGTCATAGGATGTATTTTGTTTTGAGAACATCAACCCACTCTAAACTGCTACTTCACACAAAGCTCAAATCAGACTTAACCGGATTTGTTAAAAACGGCCCTTCTTAATTTAATAAAAGCTGGATGAAGACGAATTATAGACCTCAGTAAGGACTGAAGTCTTTTAACCATTTCTGTATGTGATAAATATTGAACGTACATCCCACTGTTACTTTGCTTTTGGGCCAAAATGAAGGTTTGAACTTGATTAACGATCCCCGGGTTTATTGCTGTTTGTGAGGGTGGTATAGTTTCTTCGCGTGATATTTTGGATGTAATGCAACATTGTTACCTCCCATAACCAGTACTGTAGGCCTTCTTCATCGAGCTGTCATACGACAACAATGGCGCTATTCAATTGTTATTTTCACGAGAGCAGTTCCCAATTATGGTTTTGATCGTTTTATTTGTGCTCCAATTCCTCCTCCCCAAACTGAACTCTGCTTGTTGCCAGCTTCATGCTGATTTCTTGTCTGTCTTACTCTTCCAACCTGAAGATGGAGACAGTATGCTCCTCCGAAACGTTGGTTGGCTTCGCGGGTATACCCAGCGTTATATATCAGATGAAAAAATTCTTTATTACCTAGTTACATTATACATATTTATAACCAGTTGTGTTATTCAGTTGTTAGAATAAGTTGCTACTGCAGTTTTACGCTTCACATGAGTGAAGCCAAACTGAATGTTGAGGGCCAATCCTAAAAATATTTAATTTTATGGTTTTGTGGGAGCATCCCCACAGCGTCTGGCAGACAACCGTCACCCCTTTCAGAAACTACCAAACTGGCAGCTGTGAGTCTGAGTCTGAGCCTGAGTCTGAGTCACGTTGCAACTGACGGTCAGTCAGTCTGTCTGTCTTGGTGTCGAGCCCCAGCTGGGGCTCATGACCAGATATTTCTTTTGAGTGAAAGTTACTGTCTTGTCTATGTGTAGCGCCCTCTCTGACGAGAGGTCGGGTCTGTCATTTGTTAGTCAGTCTGTTTTAATATGTCCACTGTCTGTATTTACATAGATTTATACTCGTAATACACACTTATTTCTTGCTTATATGTACAATATATACACGCCTCTGTCAGTCCAGGCTCAGTACAGCAGATTACGCCCTATTTCTGGTATTATTCGCTACCACGGCAGTCTAGTCACTTGAACGGTCGTATGCCTGACCGCCGCCAAGTTTAAGCCTCTTATACTTTCTGTGGCGGGCTTCGCCTTGTCCGATGTT